ATATGGATATGTTAAATAAGAACAAAATTAAATCTCCAAAAACAGAAACTATTGAATTTTATAAACTGTTTAAGAACGAAGAAGGAAAATACGAATTAATATAATACATATCTAAATAATTCTAATAATATGAATTTATTAGAATTATTTTCAAGCAGTGGTTCTGGGGATAATTATGTAATACATAAGCAGGAAGATTTATACAAAATACCTGCTGAATTGATTTGTGAGATTTTGACGAGTTTGACGGATTAAGGAATTTGAGTTTCTGGCACCAAAATGAGCCCTCATGAGGAATTGTGCTCTTTACCCCGGATTTTGGGGTAAGTACCCTGGATTTTGGGGTAACCTGCCTCCTTACCCCGGATTTTGGGGTAAGTACCCTGGATTTTGGGGTAAGTACCCTGGATTTTGGGGTAAGATTTCAAGGATATTTTTTGACACATACTTAATAAACCTTACAATAAAAACATTGTAAGATTTATGTTTTGAAATTATGGGGATTGTATATTTTGGGATTTTGGGAATTTAGTTTCAAGGAATATTGATTATTGGAATTTCTTAAAATGTATTTAAAGGTTTAAGGACATTGTATTATAAGAACTATGGAAAGACTAATTTGTGTTTTAATTAAAGGTAAAATGTATGAAGGAATTTTGGAAAACGGTTCATTTAAAACTGATAATGGAAAATTATGTAGAAATTGTGGTAGAATGAAACTATTTGACGAATTTAATAAAGATAATAAACAATGCAAGCAATGTTCAGAAAACAAAAGGAATAACCGAATTAAACATAAAGATAAATACAATGAGGAGCAAAGAAAAAGATATGAAGAAGATGATGAATATAGAAATAAATCACTTGAAAGTAATAGAAAATGGAACAGTATAAAAATTCAGTGTGATATTTGTGACTGCTATTTTTCTCAATGTTTAAAAAAGCAACATCTTAAAACAAATAAGCATAAAAGAAATTTAGAAATGAAATAGGCAGAAGAAAATTAACACTATTTTTATTAATAAATATTTTACATAAAATTGTATAAGGTTAATATGTAGAATAACTTCTTAACCTTATATAATATTTCAATGAAGTAAAATTATTTTCAAGGAATTAGATAAGGTTAATGAATATGAATAATGTATTAACCTTATTTAATATTTGAATTATAAACCTATATTTTATATTTTGGTAAGTTGTTCTGAAATTTATTTTACTTCTTTCAAGATATGTTTTACTCTTTTTTTTTGGGGGGGGGCTAGGCGCTGCACCCCCCACCCCCCCCCCCCCCCCGCCCCGCGCGCGGGGGGGCTGCCGCCCCCCACAACCTCCCCGCGGCTTTTTATAATTTTTGCCCTTAATTGAATCATCACTTTTTTCGATCACCGTGGGGGGGTCTGCCGCCCCCTCAACCCCCCTCCCCGCGCCTTTAATACATTCTTTGCCCCTAACTTTTCGATCCACTTTTTCAATCATCATGGGGTGGGCTGCCACCCAACCCAACCCTGTCCCCCCCCCCCGCTATTTTTTGGTTTTTTTGGCCTTGAAACTCTGCACAAGTAGCATAAGTATTCCGATGTACTCAGACGAAAGAGACTGAAGCAAAGGTAAACATCTACGTGTTTCAAGTCTCAATTTCACTAGGATTACGCACGGCGATATACATACACGGTGCATACACATGCAGTCCGGTCCTGGGCTCTCTCCGGTCCGTCCGGCCGTCTTATTTCGGTCCGTCCGTGCAGCCGCACGCTGGGACGCGCAGCGTGTCCCGCTTCGCGGTGCGTCTGGCTCTAGTCTCCCGTCCGGTCTGGCCGGTCCGTCCGGTCTGTCCGGTTCGTCCACGCGCGGTCCGCGGTCCGTCCGGTCCGGTCCGGTCCTCCGTCGGTCCGTTCGGTCCGTCCGGCCCGTCCGGTCCTTCCGGTCCGGTGCGTCCAGTCCGGTCTGCGGTCCGTCCAGTCCGTCGGTCCGCGGTCCGTCCAGTCCGCGGTCCGTCCAGTCCGCGGTCCGTCCGGTCCGTCCCGTCCGGTCCGTCCAGTCCAGTCCGGTCCGGTCCGTCGGTCCGGTCCGTGCGGTCCGTCCGGTCCGTCCGCGGTCCGTCCGCGGTCCGTCCGGTCCGTCCGGTCCGTCCGGTCCGTCCGGTCCGTCCGGTCCGTCCGGTCCGTCCGGTCCGTCCGGTCCGTCCGGTCCGTCGGTCCGTGGTCCGTCCAGTCCGTCCGTCCGGTCCGGTCCGTCGGTCCGCGGTCCGTCCGGTCCGTTGTCCGTGCCGTCCGGTCCGTCCGATCCGCGGTCCCGTCCGCGCGCTCCGTCCAGTCCGCTCCGGTGAATCCCGGTCCGTAGTCCGTCTAGTTCGCGGTCCGTCCGGTCGGTCCGCCCAGTCCGGTCCGTCCATTCCGCGCCAGCCAGCTCATGCGGCTCATCCACTCCATCCGTCTAGTCCGTCCGGTCCGTTGTATATGTTTATTTTTTATGTTTGTTTTGTATTTTCTTGCTGGATTTGCCTATATCCTTAATGCCTTTTCATGGTGCCGGCTGGTCCTCGGTTTTATTTCCCGTGAAGCGGTTTTATTTCCTTACTATGGTTTCCCCATATATATATATATATATATTAATTACATATATTATTTTTTACAAATATAAATTTTATTTATAATAATATTATTTTGGAAATTTAGATTTTTTAAAAATGTTTTTTGTTTTTTATATATTTAATTATTTATTGGTTTATTTTATAAATATATATTTAATAATTTTATTTGATTTTAAAAAATTGATTTTATTTTTTATATGTATTTATTTGTTTATTTATTTATTTATATTTTATATATTGTGTTATATATGTATTTCTCTTTTGTAATTAGTTGATTTTTTATTTGTATTTTATAGTCTTAATTTATATATATTATATTTTATAATTTTAATTACGAAAATGAATTTTATATATATATATATATTGCTTAAAAATTGCGATTTTGGAGTATTTGTATATTATTTTTGTATTTGATACGATTATGAAATATAAATATTTATTTTTTACGAAATCTTTTATTTGATTATACGAATCAATTTTGTATTCGATTTTGCGAAACTGTTGTGTTTGGCACGAATTGTTTAATACATGTTTATGAAAATTTTATATTAGTTACGAATTTTGAAATTTGCCATTTGTATTTAGTTTATACCTATTACGAATGTTGTATTTCACTTTGCGAAAATGTTATGCTTGCAACGAAATCCATATATAATTCAATCCCTAGGAATATTAACCTTGCAATAGTGCTATGATTATCAAAATACAATGCCAAGATACAATTGCTATACCTTTCACATAATTCAAATCAATATTAACCTTGCAATAGTGCTATGATTATCAAAATACAATGCCAAGATACAATTGCTATACCTTTCACATAATTCAAATCCTTTAAAACCTCTATCTTATTATATTATTAGGCCCAAAGCTAAATCCACTCCGAACCCGCTCCGAACCCGCTCTATTTTTTTTCTAATTTTCTCATCTTCGAAACCGCCGATTTATGCTTTTCTTTCCCCTACCACATTTCTTGCGAGTTTAATTAATTATCATAATAAAAAAAATATATATTATATTCATTCAAGCATTAATCAATTATAATTATATATATTAAAATTTAATAAAAAATATTATATATTTATAGAATCGAAATTAAATGAATTTATAATATATACATAATTATTTAAAAATCAAAAATAATATATTATGTATATTAATATGTATAAAATATAAATTTTATAATCAAAAATAATTTTATGATTTTATAAATGTAATAATAAAAATTAAATTATCAAATAAAAATTTATTATAATAATAAAATTAAAAATCTATATATATATATATATAAATAAAAAATACCCCAAAACCGATTAAAAAAAAAAAATGGTATTATATAAGGATAAAAAAAAAGAAAGAAAAATGAAATGTGGTCCTCAAATTATTGTTTTGCCCGCCCTACCCCACAATATGTCATCAAAAAGCATGTTTTGTCAACCCACATTACACCTGTGTGCCCTCACCCCCCCGCAAATCCACGGAACCCGGTCAATTAAACATCAACAACAGAATCTGTCTTGCCAAGCAAGCCAGGAAGCAGCAGTTCAAGACTTGCACAGACAGTTTTGCCTAGCTGTGTTTCAGCACTCTCTAAACTCCTTGAAAGTCCTTTTGGATCATCTTCTGAGTTCCAAACCGTCTCGGGGTCCGAGTCGGCGGTCTCGAAGAGTGCACCGTGCCCGATCACAAAAGAAAAACACTGATCCCAACACAGCCGCCAGTTCATGCCGTTTTTTGTGATTTTGCCCCACAGTGCCCCACAGTTTCAACACATTCCGCCCTTTTTTCAGGATATCAGGCTTCTGACAGTCTGTCCAGCGTTTTTGGAATCTGCACGACCTGTACAGACACTCCGGAACACTTTGCCTCCCCCTTGTGCCAACGCCATCAAATTGTTGAACTCTGCACCTGAATCCGGTTTGAATTGCTGCGGGTCTCCTGTCACCCAAAAAGAGAGGGTGAAATTGTGTTCTCCCCTGCAGCCTTCAAACATGTCACGTAGCCTCTGTACAAATGTCGGTTTGATGCTGTGGTGCAGGGAGGTTGTAACAGAAATGCCATGGTTGAAATCAAGCAGGTAGTCGATGCCTGCATAGCACTCCGGGCTGCGCAGAAGACATTTTGCCAGGTCGCCTTTGGCTTGAAGCCATCTGCGCTCGAAAGTGTCATCGGAATCGCTCTGCAGCAATTCCAAACCGCCAGGAACTACCAAATGTTTGCCCTTCTTGTGCTTCCAGGAGGCCGTTGTGTTTCCTGTGTTCGTTATTTCCCAGGTCTCAAGCCGCTTGCGACACCACAATGTGGTGAGCCAAACCCCGACAAAATCTTCCAGCCAATATCGTGATTTTGGGTCGCTTCCGTCAAAAATTCACAAGCTCGGCATAGTGATTCTGTGATAGAAGCCTTCTCACTTCGGCGGAGCACACAGCGACTTCGCAAGAAGTCCCGTCCAGAAAGGTATGTGAAAAGTCTGCTCGGCAGCTTCGTCCCCATGGTGTCCAAGACTCCACTTAAAGCACGTTGCACGGTGGCAAAGTCGCTCGCCTCGGAAACCTGCAGAGCGATGGCTTTTGCATAGGCTTTTTCTGAAGCCAAAAGGATGCGTAGTATGCCTCCAACCCGCTTCCGTCGCCAAATTCCCATGGGCCACCTGCAGCTCCTGCTCTCTCCACGCCTCCACGTAGACACACTCTCCACCATCTTTGATGAAGTTGGAGTAGTGTTCCCTGTTGGGGCTGCAGGCCTTCACTGTCTTCGCAGGCAACTTCCCCGTACAGTGCCTGTCCGATCCCGTACAGTGCCTGTCCGAAGCATCGACGAGGTACCAGTTGTTGCTGTTCTGCAGGTGCTCGCAGTCGCTTGCATCCCACTTGCCAATCGGCAGGCTCTGCGCTTTCCACCGGCCGTCCTTGTTCTTGGTGAAGACGAAAACGAAGCCTCCCTCCCACGCCTCGAAGACGATGGCCTCGGGCTCCTTGATCCATTCCGGGCGGCCCTGGCCCGACACCAGGTGCCACAGGCCGAGCGCCAGGGATCGGCTCTTGCCGATGCCGGGGATCCCCAGCATGGCCACGCGCTCCGTGCCGTCCTTCATCAGCTCGAAGGTGGCCTGCCAGGCCTGGCGCGTCGTGTTCCGCGTCAGCAGCTTCCTCCCGTTCAGGTCGTAGGGCTCTGCGGGCAGGCACGTCTTGAGGTCGAAGACCTGCACGCCTCAGTATGGCTTCAGCAAGAAAAACAAAACTGATCCGCCGTCCCCCCGGCCTTCACCGAGGTCGACGGGCTTGGCCTTGACCAGCTCTTGGATGAACGCCGTGGCAAGGTCGGCCTGGCGCGATCACACACGAGAAGCGAGCCATGACACAACTCAGATTCCAACCATCCTTGATCCTGCTTGCCTGCACAGCATACAACGGACCAGACCGGAAAAGATGACGCAAGAGCTGTTCGAGAATCAAGCACTGAAGGGCCATCAACGACAGGAAACAAAAAAACTAAAACAGCACAATCCAGCATGGACACAAAGCTGGGGATGCGTGTTTGAGCTCAACCATCCTCCACACTGAGTCGCACCACTTGCGCCAACAATGCAGCCAGCTGAAGTGCAAAAAAATACGCTGTGATCTGCAATCTGGGGATTTGCTGGTTCAGGGCAGTCCCACCAAAAGCATTTTCAGGCTGCGGGTGGAAATCAAAACCGCACGCAAGGACCAACGTCTCAGAACACAGCCGGCCGCTGAAACGACCGAGTCTGCCCGCCTCGGACTCCTTCGGCCGGCTGATTGCCTTCGCCTTGACCTCAACTCACATGCCGTGCAGCGCGCACGAACCGACGGCCTCTTCCAAGCCCTTCAAGGCTGCTTTGGCCTGGACGGCTACCACGTGCGTCACAAAGAACGCCACGACATGTGAATCTCACCCTTTGGCAAAGGAAGCAAACAGTCCTGCCTCTTCCACAAACTCGCGCAGTTTTTGTTGCAACTCGTCTTTCTTCCCTGAAAGGGTCCACTTCTCTGGATATATCTTCTGCGCTATTCCTGAGCTCAAACCTTTCACCGCTCTTGAAACCCCGACCCACGTGCTGCTCCAGCGGCTCAAGACAGCTTTTATCTCTTCCACCGTGTCGTTGTCCTCCAGCACCCGTTCGGCTTCTGCAATCACCTGAGCGAGGCGAAGCTGGGACGTCGCTTTCTCTGAAGGCCCGCCGCCTCCTCAAGATTGAGCCGGCCCTGGCAGCCAAGAAGCCCAGCGTTGAACCCTCCTGATGCACATGTCCCCCAGGCCTGGGCACTGTTGTCCTGGCAACGGCAACCGTCCAAACTTGCAAGCTTTTGGTTGGAAGGTCCTCTTGCGCAGCCAGGGCACGCAAGGCGACTCCAGCATGCAAAGGGCGTGGTCTCACCTGAACAAGCGAAAGTGCGATCTGTTTAGGGCTGTGGGCAACTCTCAGGAATGGGCCAGTGCGCTGTTGCGGTTCTGGCACGGCAGCACAAACAGGAACATCCAAAGTCGGGGGTTTTACGGTCCTTCAGCCGAGCTCCTCCGGCAAAGTCATGAGCAGCAAATGGGGACTCCTGAAAACCGAAAATCCATCGTTTGCAAACGCTGCTCCAGACATTCCCAAGACACAGGCCGTGCTCGCAGCACAATCCCAAAGCTGAGGCATGCGCCTGCCGCGGCGTACTGCGGACACCGCAATGTCCACAAACCAGCTGGCCTCGGCCTCTCCTCCTGGAACTCGTCGCTGCCATGGCCGTTGCAACACTTTATGATTCCTCACATCAGTGTTGGCCCACATGGTCAAACACTGCGCAGCGGCCAGCAAGGTTGTTTTTTCGTGTTCAGCACAAACCCCCCAAGCAGACCTGAGAGGCACGGGCTGTGTTCCGACAATCTGTCCAAAGGGCTATGCGAAGCACCCCATCACAGCACAAAAACACATTTCCACACATAGTCACGGCATTCCACGTCCAACACAAGACCATGCGCAAGTTTGGGGGTATGGCCCAAGCTGTCGCGCAGGGTCGTTGGGGCTCAACAACCGAGCCTCAAGCCGGAGGCCGAGGCTCATCCACTTCCCCTGCCCTAGGTTTCCCAGCTTCCCCAAGTTCCCTAACTTCCCTAGTAGCCTTAAGTTCCCCAGCTTCCCTGCCGCACGGCTTCGGGGCTGGTGCCTCGTTGTGAGTGTAGACCCCATGGTCGCATTGATCCTGGCTCCCTGGCATCCTTTCGATGCAAGAGATCCTTGCCACCGCGAATGTGCCATGGGCCATCCAGGCTGTGCCATGACTCCATTGGCTTCTGGGTGTCAATTCCTTCTAGACCAACAGCCTTCGTCAAAGGGAAAAACTGACCCGAGAACCTCTTTCGCCAAGCGACGGGGAAAACCAAGACCTCCAGACACACTGGTGCCGATGCTGCCTTGCGCGACGCAGGGCGCAACAGTTGGCCTTTGTCTTCTCTCCATGGCCCTTTGCAAGTTGCACAAAGCTCCGCGCACTCCTCGCAACTCTCGATTAGCAAGCTCTTGGTCTTAGCAGTTGCCACCGCACTGCCCCCGCCCGTGGGCGACGCATCCGTGCAAGAAATTTCGGGGCTAACCTGCGCCTTCACCAAAGACAAGGACCATGAAGCTCGTCAATGACCGCCGAAGGAGGTAGAACCCCCGTTTTCGATTTTTCAGCGCAGCTGAAAATCTCTTGCAGAATTGACGGAATGCAGCTGCAAACGCACACTTGCCAGCCCAGCGCCTGACGTGAAATTCGCTCCATTGGTCAAGGCCCAAGAGGGCCAGCGACAGCACGAGTAGTTCAATTGTTTTGTCGTAGGAGTGCTGGAGAAGCCGTGGGAGCCCAAAATTTCAGTAAGCAACCAGCCAGGGCGCCAGATAGTTGCTTGCCTTTGCTGCGTGGCTCTGGCGCGAGCCCGAAATGGAGCCAGCGTGCTCCTGCGCAATCTTGCTTTTCATCCGCCAAATCTGATCAAAATTGTCCAAGTACAAAACTTGGAAGATTACGAAAGTTTGTGTCACGGGGTGACACGGGCCGTGGGAGACCTCTGGGAGTCAGTCGGGGTTGCTGGCCCCTGCCTCAAATCCCGGCGGTGACAAAACGGTGACATCAATGCATGCCAGAAAAACGTGCCGAAACCCTGCAAAACCGGCTGTCACAGAAAGGGTGACATACCGGTGACAAGCGGCAGGCTGCGTTTTTCCACCCAAAAGTGCCCAGTGACGAGCGGTGACATACCGGTGACAAGGGTGACAAGCTCGGCAGGCTGGCCCTGGCACCTAAAAGCACCCAAAAGCTCCCGTGTCCAAAAGCTCCATTCGCTCAGTGGGCAAGGTCTCTGTGATTTGCTGGATCGGTGACATCGACGCATGCCGAAAAACCGCACCGAAACCCTGCAAAACCGGCTGTCACAGAAAGGGTGACATACCGGTGACAAGGGGTGACAAGCTCGGCAGGCTGCGTTTTTCCACCCACAAGTGCCCGGTGACGAGCGGTGACATACTGGTGACAAGGGTGATGTCAAGAGCGCAAGATGACGTCCCGTGGGACGCTGTCCACCAAGCTTCCAGCTGAATGTACTCAATCACGTGGTAAAGATATACGGCTAAACCGATACAGCCAAACCAGCGCAAACTGTTGTAAGGGTGTTCTCGAATAACCACACACGTTCGAGATCAACAGCGCGATCGCACCTGTTTCCTCTCACTCGGATCGAACACAGGTATATGCAAGTCCATGCAGGACCATAAGCCCTACTTGAGTCTTGAGCCATATTGTGGCATCCATCGGAACATTTCAACCAAAGAGAACATGGACCTCAGAACTGCTTCCCAATTTAGGCACGGGGCCAGGAGGGTTTTAACATCCCCCGTTTGGGTCGCACTGTTCATCATGCGGTCCAAACATCACAACAAGTCCCAATGGCCACGGCTCGGACTACGAAACTGTGTCGAAACATTCTTTCATTTACGATTGCATCGCCATCTGTTCTTCGCGAAGCTCAGCCGGGTGCGATTAAATCAAAACTTGCGCATCCGCAGACCACAGTACGCTCCTTTGCACAGAGGCATGAGGCATTATACCTCGTACCACAACGCAGTCACTGAAGATCCCAGCTGCCGTGTTTGCGCGCCACGCAGCTGTCATCCACCGAAATGGGTTGGCCAAAGAACTCCACAACAGCGCATGGCCATAAGCCATCCGTATATCACCGGCAAAGAAATTGGCGAACAATGTCTGCAAAAAATAGCCATCCCAGCTACCACAAATAATGTAAAGAAATGAAAGAAATCATCCATAAGGTAATAGCGCCCATCCATGAATATCCGGAATGCCATAGTCGTCGGAATATGTAGATATATACATAGGCATGTTCCTTGGACAAACGAAGTCATTTTTCATCGCAATTCATTCCATCGTAGTGAAATCAACATGTTGCTGGCGATGGATGGGGACTGGCCCGCACCATGCCGCAAAAGCAACGATGACCCACTTCTGTGTCACATGGGTTTGTCCACAATGGCCAACCTGGTGATACGTCGACCGTGCTCGGGCATACTTCTTGTAGAGCTCGTGCGCAAGCCAATGTCCTTTCCGGACGCACCAGTGAAGCAGAGGTCCGTCACATTTGCCCGGGTCCGTGGCTGCAATGATAGCGCTCACGTGAACCTGCTACCCATGTTTACCAAGGTTTAGCCCGGTCCTTGCGAAAGATATGTACTTGCAGTTGAATGCCAGAGAGACGCACCTGTAAACAATGTCCCCCGCCGGATGTTTGCGTTCGCTGACCAATAGCTTCATTTCTTCCTTGGTGACGTCGAGGATCTTTGCTGCGCTCCACAATTTGTAGAATATGTAGAGCCCATTGCATTTGATCGCCGAAAAGCGAATGTACTGGTTGCGTTCCTCGACTGATCCGAAAGTCCTCGATCGAACACTCTGAGAACGAGATACCTCTTCCTCAGACGATGGCAAAACAATACCAGCACGTGACGTTGGGATAGCGCGCCAAGTCGTTATGGTATGGACATGCGGGAGCCCCTCTGAGTGCGGCGTCAGTCGTTCGCTTGTCCCAGCCTCAAACATCCTTGACATTTGCAGCGCAATGAACCCCGCCATATATTGAGCCTCCCGTGGCTCATCCAAGCTATCCGTTGGGAGTTGATGATGTCGCGCTCAGTCATATCATTGTTGCGGTAGCCCCATTCGTTGTCTTCTTTCGGACAAGTTGCCGGACGTGTACCCCTGCGCGCCCATATCATCCACCATCCCTCCCTTGTGCTGCCGCGTTATCATTCGCTTCCTCCTGCGCTCGCCTGGCATCCCCGGACACGTTGGGTTCACGATCGTCATCATCGTCGCCTGAGCTGACGTTGACGTGGAATCTTCCGGTAGAAATCAATTGCGCTTCGCATTCCAGGCATATGCAGAAGCATGTAGGAATCGTAGCCGCACAAGATGGACAAATTTGGCATCTGAGGCCTTCCCAATTTTCGTCATTCAGGATGATGGTTTTGCTGATCATCTCTGATCTCATTTGTCGTTCAAGTTCCCCTAAGCACCAGCCACACCTAGTTCGAGCTAATGCGAAAGCGAAGCAGCAGTTTGTTTTGACACTGGCGGTTGCTGAAGTGAAGCAAAAGGGGGGCCCAGCCCCTGAAGCCACTGAAGCAAAGAACACCCCCTTAGAAATCTGCCAGTGACAAAGCAAACCTCGCCGCCTGCCCCCCTGAAAAACGTGAGGTTTGTCGCTCATGCCATTTGCGGCTCAGCTGGAAAAGAAAAGCATCACATGAAGAAATCATTCACAGGCGGACGCCAAGGCAAGGAGGCGGCCGAAGGGTGCACTTCCACTGCTCTGTCACGAAACCATACTTGCTGAAGAGTTAGAGGAATGCGAAGCCAGTCTTCAAACTGGTCTGGAAGCGAAGCTGCCTGGCCGTCCCATCTGGAAAGCAAGTCGGCGTCCACATTGTGCTCTCCAGGAATGTGCCCCACATCGAGGCGAATACCAGAAAAGCAACTTCTTTTCTTAGCTCTCACATGAGATTTCAATACATCTTCAACGCACAATCCCCCGTCCACATGGACTGAGGATTATCTCACATGAGATTGTGACACATCGCCAACAGACATATTTCCGTCCACCTGAACATTTGCTCATTCCACATGAGTGTTAAAAACCTCTGCGACGCAGAAAATCCCCAACGGGAAGTTGGACATGGGGTGGGAGGTGGGAGCGAAAATTTCCGGCCAAAACATGGGGGAACCCTCCCGCCCACCACTGAGCCAAATTTACGTTCGGTTTCATGAAATACGTTGCGCACATGCACAAGCAAATACTATCATGCAAACCACATGTAGTATAACAAACCGAGGCTTCATCACGCGTAAGGCAAACTGCGTCAAGACAGAACTCAAGCGGACCCCAAAACCCCCCCCCCCCAAACATAGAAAGGGGGGGGTCTCACGCACGCAAAGAAGGTTTTATCTTCTACGAAGAGCGCCACCTTCTTTTCTTAGCTCTCAAGAGCTCCGCTTGAGCCAAACCAAAGTATTAACCACATACAAAAACCATATATAAACATTCATATAGATATATGGTCATTGTTGACATTCCCTTATAGATGACACACTCGCACTGTTTTTACGGCTA